TCCTTTTTTTCGGGGGATTTTTTATTTGCTTAAATGTGTTCATTTTTTTTTTTACCCAGATTTATTCACTTTGCCCGAATACCCAAGAAAAAAACTTCCCTTTTAGTTTTTATCCCTCCCTTTTCTTTTTACTTGGACCATTTTTAAAAATTTCGAAAAGGTGGGGGACCATTCCATGTTCCCCCGGGGGGGGGGGGGGGGGGCAGGGATGATGCCGGTGCAAGCGATTCGACGACTGACCGTATTCCCCTTACGAGAAAATAGAATGTCTGTCACTCCCTGACCACACACTCCGACGACAGCAACGAAGGCAACAGAAAGCACATGAATAGCGCCTGTATTAGTATTACTTTGTGTGGCAGCAGCAAAGAGCGACAGTCTACTGGGTCGGTAACCAAGCAGCAGCAGCAGCAGCAGCAACAGCAGCAGTTCACCAATGGGGTGTCCTTCAGAACCAAGCGAAAACGACAGGTAGATGTTGTAAAGTGACACATGCACGCGACAACACACAATGAAGGAGAGACCTTCGCATGAATGAAAACGCTACACCATCGAGAGCAAGCTAAGCAACCAACAGGATTGACAGCGAAAGAAAAGAGAGGGAAGAAAAACGGCAACATCAAAGAGAGGCACAAAAGGAGACAGGACAAACAGAAAAGAACAAGAAACGTACCCTCAACAGCTCGCCAAGTCTGGTGAGGATGTCGGTGCCGATGGTAGGAAAGTGGTCCGCGAACTGCAGGAAGTTGGCCGACATCTCCGCCACCAGCAGCGCACTCCCGACGGCCTTGAAGCTCGCCCCCCCCACCACGGCTTCTCTACGACGCTCCGCTCTACCCCCCTTTCGCCCCCCCGACCTTCATTCGCATGAAAAAGAACCAAAGGAAATACGGCACGAGTGAGATACAACACAAGTTGCTCGTACTCCCCCTTAGCTGTGCGTTAAGAAGAGGGAGTCGACCTCGGCAGACGAAACCTTCGTTGATCTTGTACCCCTTATGAGGGCTATCTTCACAACCACCAACCACCAACATCGCAACAATCGCTGCCTGCCGCAAAGTGCGCACCGCACCTTGCACCCCCCACGAAGTTAGGTTGCGCCGGCGGGTCCCCCGGCAATCTCAACCCCCCGTTGTCGTAGCCGCTGCCGCCGCCGGCACCACTCCCTTCCTTGCCATCGGTACCGTTAGCGTTGGCCGCAGACACGGAGGGACGGAAAACTTGGCCGCTGGACAAGCGGTCAAGCACCGCCTGGCGCTCGGGGGTGACATCGGCCTGCGGACAAAGCGCACAAGAGAGAACCAAACAAAACAAAACAGCGTCAAGCCGGTTTGTCCCCCACTCTCTCACTGCAAAGACATGCCATTCGACTACTGTGGTGTTGTCTCGAACGGGTGCTCTTTCGGTGATCGTACAATACGTATACTTAAAAAAAAAACACACACACAACGAACGAAAGCGATGTCGGACCCTCGTGTAGGCTACCCCTGACGGACGCTTTGGGGGTGAAGTTAGTGTAACATGGGGGGTGGTAGTGGATGTTCAATAACCAACTTGATGGCTTGTTTTCGGTGTTGGGAAAGAAAATCACGGACGTTGAAACACACGCGAAAGCAGCGGCAGCAGCAGCGTTCGATCACCCCCATGTTTTTTCTTCCTTTTCGTGCTCTCTGTCTGTCTGTCTGTCTGTCTGTCTGTCTGTCTGCCTCTCTTTTTCAGCTTTTTTTTCTTTCTGCCATTCTCTCTCTTTTTTTCTCTCTGTGTCTCTCTCCCTGCCCCCCCCCCCCTTCTCTCTTTCTCCCTTTCTCTCCCTTCCCCCCTCTGGCTCCATCCCTACATGTACTTTGTATAAGACGCTCCTCCGGAGTGGCCCACCAGAGCACAGTGGAAGTGTCATCAACGCGTGATGCAAGATGAAAGTGAAGCATGTGTTGGTGCGAATCAGGTGCCAGGTGCCACCAGTAAACGTTTCCGACGCTTGAACAGCTTACGCAGCTGACGTGCTTTTGACCCGCAAGACCCCAGCAAACCCCAACGAACCAAAAAAAAAAAGTAAATTTATACAGAAAATTCATTACTCTTCACCTGCGTCCACTTCTCGGCATCAAGTCGCTTGACGAGCGTCTGCTTGTTGGCCTCGTGCCTAGCCTCGACGAACGCCTTGGCCTGGGACAGAAGCGTGCTCCTCAGCTTGTAGCCGTTGCAACCGCTCAGCCGCTCCACAGACTAGGACGGCCGGGGTCGTGTGTGTCAGGCGGAGAGCCAGAGAGGGCAGCAGCGTGGTGAGGTGAAGGTGGATCACGGCACACAGACTAAATGACACGCGGACGTGCGTAGGCAGCGTTCTTCTCGAACACGTGTTAGATCATTCATGGATGATGCACGTGTTCCCCCAAACCAAAAAATACAATCAAACCATCAAACCACAACAAAATACACCTGCAACTAGTTGCTGCAACTAGTTGCTGGGCTGTTGCGGATGGTCCACGCCAGCCTGAGGAAACCACCTGCAACACCACCGTACATACGTCTTGCATCCAAGCCCCCAAGGTCTTCTCTTATATCGGAGCCATGACTGTATGCCCATCGTGATTCGCGCTCGCAGGAGTTACGTTTTACCTGGATGAAGGCGACGGTTATATCCCACAAGTGCTTCAGCTCATCCACGTCCAGCTTGGTGCAGTTGTGCTCTCGCCGCACGCTCAGCAGCTGGGACACGCTACGCTCCATGAGCTCGCTCAGTGCCTACGCAATATAAACAGCAATAGTTTACAGACAGATCGTGCATCCGTTATCAATCGGCCGAGGGGGAAGGAGGGGCAGGCCGAGAAGCAGAGCGTTCTAGGAGTAGCAGCTCCAAATGGAATGGACAGACAGAATACCGCCTAGCCTAGCTGGTGACGGCTGGTCATGCTACAGGGGGGCATGGGGAAGAAGACTATCGCAAAAACACTCTATAATACGGAAACAACATCACCACCACCAACAATATTTACAAAACAAAAAAATCACCAGCCTTCCAGTGCTGCCATCCATCATGTCAACCGGGGATAGCATACCTCGCATATACTCCACTGCATCCTCCGCATCGGTTCTCTCATGCGAGACAAAGGAAAACAAAAGATGTCAGTGTTGTAAATAAACCAACGAGCACCCCCCACCCCCCCCTTACTGATGCTGCCGCCTGCAGCCTCATCGCGAAGGGTCTTCCCTCCCGACGGCACCCCACCTCCTTGCTAAACGTCTCTGTATGCGGACCCCCCTTCGCCCCTGTACAGAGGAAGACGTTAGGCAAACATCTCCCTGCACGCAAAACCCCGACACATCTTTCCCTCCGTATTAACCTCTTCCGGTGGAAAGGACTTCTCGAGAAGTGAGGCAGAGGAGGGCAAACTGCGGCCGTCCCTCTGAGGGAGGAAAGCGCGCGAGGGGGGACGCGTGCAATATCCTATTTGTACATGTTCTTGTCAGGGGACGCCTACAGTAGCGTTCACTCCGGTAAAAAGTGAGGGGGACTTCGAGATATCATCCCCGGAGTAGTTCCTGCCTTAACACTCGATCCTGGCTTCTTCGTGAAACCAAACCGCAACAAGCGCCGAAAAAATGGATGATACGCGGTTATGTGCCCCCTCTCCACGGGCGAGACGTTGCCAGGTGTCCGACACGGAGGGGGGTAAAGCGCAGTCTAGCAAGAGGTGCACGTGTTTCCAAGGCTCGTTCGCACCACCATTACTTACTCTTACAGCTGCCGGTGACTTTTCGTTACCGATATTTCGTCGACAAGCTCACCCTCATAAAGAAAGGGGGGCGGGGCTGGTCATCCATCGAGGGTTCGTTAGCACCACCATGCTCCTACAGCTGCCGGTCGGTCACTCTTTCGACACAAAAAACTCACCCTCAGGCAGGATCGACTCCTCTCCACGATGACCGATCCTTCCTCGCTCGTCACCACTGACGAGAGCTGGTCGCCCACATCCCCCCCGCCCTCCTCGCCCCCCCTCCCTCCTCCCTCATGCTGCTGAAGCAGCTGCTGCTGAAGCAGCTGCTGCTGCTGCCGTCGCTCCGAACTTCGCGAGTCGTCCGGCGAAGAGGAGGAGGAGGAGCTTTGGCAGGCATCAACGATAAAGGACAAGGCCTCGTGCATTTGCGACACCCGGGTTAACACCGACAGCTGATGGGGTTGTTGGTCGGACGAGTAGCATCGGCGAGGGGCACCGGCGAAGCGCGGGGGGAGGGGAGGGAGCAAAGGAACCAGCAGCAGCAGCAAGCTCATGTCAGATGAGGAACCTGGAGAGCTTGGTGGTCTTCAAGCACGCATCAAACTGCACCCATGCGGCAGGAAGTGTGTGTGTGTGAGCACACTTGCGGACGACACCCCCAATTCAAACTTGATACCAAGCAGCTGTGAGACAAGGACTCACGTGTGCAAACTGCTACAGCAGCTGCCCCCCCCCCCAGACCAACGGTCCAACGACTACGGCATGCGTTTACATGAGTCCCCCACCCCCACCCCCACCCCCAGCCCGTGGTTCTCCCTACCCCGCCAATCAAGGACAACAACCCCTCCTTTGGTGCCCCCCCCCCTCACCATATGCTCGAAGCACATTTCCAAGCAGGAGCAAAAGGCCTCCCCGTCGAGAGTCTTGAGCTTCGCCACCGACTGCCCCCCGGCCGCCGCCGCCGTGCCTTGCTCGCCGTCCTCGCCACCGCCTCCTGCATTCCCACTCCCGGCGCCGGCGGCGGTGCCGGGGCCCGTTCCTGCTCCCGTCGCTGCCGACTCGTCTCCGAAGAGGTGGAAGGTGTCCATCAGCTCTCCTGCATCGTCGGTCGTGGCGAGGAAGTCTCCCACTACAGTCCTGACAAGTGGGCGGACAGACAACAGCAGCAGCAGCAGCAGCAGCAGCAGCAGCAGACCAGCAGCAGACGTGGGTGGGGTTCGTGAGAGGGGCGATAGAGGGAGACATACAGAGCGACAGAGAGACAGGAAGACAGGAAGAGGGAGGGGAGAGAGAGAGAAGACCCACGACGGACAGTCTCTTGGCATCAATTCTAACACCCTTGTCTTGACGTCATTCGACGCCTCCGTCCTGACACTCTTGGATTCAACCTACCAGAACGTCGTAGATGCCTGCCTCTGAGTTCCGGTAGGCATCGAGATGGAGCTTTTGCGAGAGGGAGCTTTGGCGACGGGGTGTCAGAGCACCCCGTGCAAGAAAACACCACAACACGGCCGGAGAACAAAAGTCACCCTCATCCCTCCCCCCCAATAATAGGCACGTACATACACAGGCCCGACCCCCCCCCC